ATATTAACCATTTCCCTACAAGGAAATATTTGGCATTCATTGACGGGGAATCCAGTATTGTTTTTGGTTGAAATTTATAAAATCTTTCTCTTAAAACAACTTTTCGGGAAAATATGTTTCTCAAGTACAGTAAGTGTATTGATGGTGTTTTTCTTCCTAACCTTTTGTTTTTCTTTGTGGAACATCAACATTTTGATTTTGTCATTATTTTCTCTTCAAGTTACATGTGCTATCCAATTTAGTTGTTACTGCTGTTGGTAATCCTCAAGTGACATGGTTTCTCTATTATTTATTAGTGTTATGGCCTTTGCGGAAGGTAATGGGTTTTCTTCTAACCTTTGATTTGATAGTGGAGACATCAACATTTTGATTTTGTCATTATTTTCTCCTTGAGTTACATGTATATCCATTTAGTTATTTGCTGCTTTTGGTAATCCTCAGGTAGTGTGATTTCTATGATTTGGTACAATTCTTTGTGATTATATAGTGCCAGTTCACAATGTTCAAAAGAATGATGATCTTTGCCAAGACACCCAGTCTTGACTTGCTCAAAACCTTTTTTGTTAACCATTGATCTTTGAATGCAGTTTATATATATATATATGTAATATATATATATATGTATGTGTGTGTAATATATATTATATTATATATATATATAATATATAAATATATAGATAAATATATATTATTATATATATATATATATATAAATATATATTATATTATATATATATATATAAATATATATATATATATATAATATATATATATATATATTATATTATATATATAACATATATAAATATATATAAATATATATATATATATATATATATATATATATATATAAATATATATTATATATATAAATATATATATATATATATATATAAATATATATTATATATATATATAATATATATTATATATATATATATAAATATATAAATATATATATAAATTATATTATATTATATATATAAATATATGTTATATTATAATATATAATATATATAAATATATATTATATTTATATATATGTGGTAAAATATATATATTATATATATAATATATAAATATATATTATGTATATATATATATATATATAAATTATATATTATATAATATATATAAATATAATTATATATATATATTAATATATATATAAATATATATTATATATGTATATATAAATATATTATATATATATATATAATATATATAAATATATATTATATATATATATAATATATAATATATATTATAATATATATATAATATATATAAATATATATATATTATATATATATATAAATATATTATATATAATATATAAATATATATTATATTATATATATATATATATATAAATATATATTATATTATATATTATATATATAAATATATATATATATATATATATATATATATTATATTAAATATATATTATAAATATATTATAATATATATTATACATAAATATATATTATATTATATATAAATATATAATATATATAAATATATATATATATATATAATATATAACATAATTATATATATAAAACATATATTATAATATATATAATAAATATATAAATATATATATTATATATATATATATATATATATAAATATATATATATATATATATATATATATAAATATAAATATATATGCCTATATATATATATATATATATATAAATATATATATATATATAATATATAAATATATATATATTATATATATATATAATATATAATATATATATAATATATATATTATATATATATATATATAATATATATAAATATATATATATATATATATATATATATATAAATATATATATATATATATATTATATATTATATATATATATATATATATTCATAAGCACACACGCTTATATATAATAGAATTTGTGCAGTGGGGGGCGGGTATTTGAATAATCATTTATAGTAATTAATCAACTCTAGAAGAATCCAGAATCCTCAACAGAATACAGAAAGCACTGAATGGCCGTGTCGTCCTTTTTGGGATTCCTTTGAGAATCGAACCCAGACTGTTATGATACAATGCAAACATCATACCACTGGACCAACTGGCCTCAGTGACGAAGAAGAAACTAACTAGATACAATATAGTGCAGCTACTCACTAAATTATATATTACAGGTAACTAATTCATTGGCATATAATCCAGGTGGATCCGAGTAATATTAATTATTAAAACTGATTCACAGAGAGCTCAATGTATTTATTATAACAGAGAATTTGTATTTTTTTACAGCAAAAAAACAAAAATTACCTCAACATCTAGATAGTCTATTTCAAGCTGCTCTGTATGCGGCTATCATCAGCCCCCTTCGAAGTAGATTATCCCCATGTTGAGGTAATTTTTATTTTTTTACTTCAAAAAAAAATATATACAGTGTAACCTGGATATAGAGGTTAACCGGGACGGAGAAGAAGTCTCTTATATCCGGGTTTATCTAATTATATACATTAACACAGGCTCTAATTTGGGACCAGAAAATCTCTCTTATATCCGGGTTTCTCTTATATTCGGGTTTGGTCTATTTTTATATATACATTAACACAGGCTCTAATTTGGGACCATCGAAAATCTCTCTTATATCCAGGTTTGGTCTATTTAATATACATTAACACAGGCTCTAATTTGGGACCAGAGAAAATCTCTCTTATATCCGGGTTTGGTCTATTTTATATACATTAACACTGGCTCTAATTTGGGACCAGAGAAAATCTGTCTTATATCCGGGTTTCTCTTATATCCGGGTCACACTGTATATGTATATGAAGAAAAATATACGGAAAAACAAACAAAAATCCTAATATGCAATCATGCTGTTTTAATGTTAAAAAAAAAAAATTTCAGTTATCTGTTTTTATTAGTCTTACTCTTATGTCAATTGTCTTTTCATGTTGAATTGAATATAGTCTAATGTTAATTATGTTATAAATATGTCCTGAAGAAGGTCTACTAGACCGAAACGTCCGACATTGACATTATATTAACATTAAAACAGCATGATTGCATATTAGAATTTTTGTTTTTTTTTTCTGTATATTTTTCTTCATACTGTCGGATCTATATCCATATATTTGCTTACATATATGTATATATAATCTTTTTTTTTTTTTTTTTCTTTTTCAACTTCAGATGTTATTATAGTGGATACTTCTTATTTGAAATAAATGCCCCACTTTTATTTATTGAACAATATGCCTTCTGTCTATCAGTCTGCAATATGTGTGTGCATTTTCCTTAATTGAAAATCGTTATATAACTGGGCTTAAACTCCTAATATTGGTAGTAAATATGTAACTTATTAGTAACAATGCACATAGCATTTTACTATTACCGATTGTCAGAGTCGGATTATAACCTTACAGAGCCACTTTCTAAGCCAGCCATACCCATCTTCAATATATTTTACTTGTGATATATTTTAGCAAGATTTACATAGCTTGAAGTAAAACTTATTGCAAATTCCTTTAAATAACGTAGGATAGCCATCTTTTGGTTGTCAATAAATGTATTCTTTAATCTTTGAACCTGAATCTCTGATATACTGTCCACTTTGTAAAAGTACATATGCCATACTTGTCAAGAGGTCAGAGTTCAAAGCATTAAGAAATACTACTATTTTACTATTTATTGCAAAACAAATTAGCACAGATTTCAATACAACTCTAATAAAAAAAAAAGTGGGTTTTTTATAGCCTGTATTATAACAATCAAAATAATTATGAGTTTGTCAAATTGATATCATTTCAGTTTATCAATCTATTTAGAAGTTATATTATCTTGAAAATTAAAATCATTGCTTTATAAAAAAGCAGGGTCCCTAGACTGTAGCCTATACTTGATCTAAAGGATAATCTGGCAATGGAGGTAAGCCATTCATTCTAATGGCTATATTCAGATATAAGTTAAAAATTACAAATGAAAAATCTTCTGCATTCTAAAAGAAAATAGAAATAAATAATAAAATAATTAAATTAAAATGATAAATAAATAAGTAAAAGAAGATGGAGATAATGTATGTATATATCTATCCAAGGGGTATCAAAAAACTTTTATAACCTTTTGGGATGGGTTCCTCACCAAAAATAAGGACAAAAGTCTATTTAATTTTATTCTGTATGAGTGTAGTAAAAAAAAATCTAAACCCGTATTATAACAATAAAACAATCAAAATAAATATATCATTTCAATTTATAAAACTATTTAAAAGTTATAACATCTACTAAATTAAAATCACTGCTTTATAAAAATTTCCAAGATTTGAACATTCTGAACTAAAATCAAACATATTATCTACTTAAAACACAATTACACAGACTAAATCAATCTTACTTTGCTTCCTGCAAAATCAAATAAATATCAGTTTGTGAAACTACTTAGAATTTATAACATCTAGAATATTAAAATCATTTATTTTTTTTATAAAAGCTTAAAGGCCCCAAACCTGAAGCCAATACGAGCTTAAAAGATAATCTGGCCCTGCTGATTATCGATATTTGTGTTGATATTAAATCAACATTTTTTGGAACTGAACTACAAATGTTGAACATAAATCATTCATCAAAACTACAAATTACTCAAAAGACATTTTAATCTTTGAAAGAACAAAGTAATGGCCTCTTTTCATATGACTGTTATGGCTGTTTCATATTTTAACTACACTAAAAAATGTTATTCTTTTTTAATTGAAAACAAAAAGAATATAAATTGCTGATCAATTTGATAAAAAGAAACATAACTGATTTTTTGTTCTACTTAAAAAGTTTGAATGAAGCAAAATGACCTCCAAATAATATGCTTGTTATTCAAATACACGGAGGAGGGCATAGGAAAATGAAAAAAGCTGTCAAGCAAACAATAATTAATAAGAATGATTGATATTCTCTGATTCAGAAAATAAGCGTTTTAAATTTTAGATATTATTTGTGTGGAGAGGAGAAATTTTAAAAAACTGAAAGAAAAGATAACATGGGACAAAAAAATGTCTGAAGAAACGAAGAATGGTTAAAAGAGAGTATGGTGACAATAGAAATAAAGAAAGAAATAATGAGAAAAGATATGGAATTTTGGAAAAGAAAGATTGAAAGAATGACAAAGGGAAAGGAAATAGTGACAAAAGAAAGAAAAATTTGGAGAAAGAATGGAAGAAACAAATTTGAATGATATAATAATGAAAGAAAGAAAGGATTGGAGAAAGAAAGAGTGAGAGTATTAGAGAAAGAAAAAGAAAGAGTATTGGAGAAAGAAAGAGAATTGGAGAAAAAAAAGAGAGAGAGAATTGGTGAAAGGAAAAGCGAGAGAGAGAGAATTGGAGAAAGGCAAAGGGAGTGAGAGAGAGAAAGGCAAAGGGAGTGAGAGAGAGAATCGGAGAAAGTAAAAGAGAGTGAGATAATCAGAAAAAGAGAGAATTGGAGAGGAAAAGAAAGGAAAACTTAAAAAAATAATAGTGAAAGAATTATTGAAAGAAATAGCAAGAAAAGAAAGAAAAATAAAACCTGAAAGATATAACAATGAAAGAAAAAAGAATTAAAGAAATATGGAGAAAAGAAAGAAATCTTCAGAAATAATAATGAAAACTTCCAAGAAATACTAACAAAAGAAATAAAAAAAATAATAGTGTACATTATCCGAAAAGGAGCACTTTTCAAGGGAACTAAGTAGACAAAAAAAAAAAAACTTCAAAGAAATTGGAAAAAGAAATAAAACTTGGAAGATGATAATGAAAGAAAAGTTGAAAGAAAGTAAAAAAAAAAAAGAAAGAAAAATTGGAGAATAAATGAAAGAAATGAATAAAACATGCAAGGTGATAATTAAAGAAGAAAAGACTGCAAGAAATAGTGATAAGAAATAGAAAAAATATACATTATCATCAGAGGAGGATTTTCATTTATTAGTGAGACTATTACAAATAGTGTGGCTATCTTATGCATATATACATTTGCAGATGTAAAATAATAAGTAAACAAAAGCAGTGGAGAATGAAAAAAATAATCATCTTAGATTTCAGATTTATAAACAATGATTAATGATTTTTCAAAAGAAAGGAAGTATCCAAAATAACCAACCAATGACCAGCGTCAAATCATTGGTTCAGGTTAGGTAATGATCTTAGTTCTTCCACAAGGAAATCAAGAAAGAAATAATAAGATGATTTTGATACCATTCTGTCTGGTTCCTATATTTAAAACTTACATCCATTTTGGTTCCTGCAGACAGATAAACATTTCGGAGAAGAAATCAATATTTATTTGCATCTAACAAAACAGTGGTGAATGCTAAGAAGAAAACCAAGCAACGATAGAACTAACTTTGAACTGGGGATTACACTTTTAATATACTAATTAAGAAAGACCAGATACTAGATTCGGGACTTAAAAATCCATTACCCGAGTCCCTGACAACATCTCACAGGGATAGAAGAGCAGGAAAAAGAAACCTAATCTGTTCCCTGGAAACAAGGAGTTCAAGAACTTTGGATTAGGGGAGAGATTGGTCAGTATCATGAAGAGGAAAAGAATGATTATTGATGATAATAAGTTGTGAAATTCCCTATAAAGGAAAATGGACACAGCAGGTGAAGGAATAAGAACAGATATATACACCAGCTCAGTGGAGATGCAGATTAGCATTATCAGGAAGAATTGATGGTTACAATTTCTGAAATTCCATAGGAAGGACAATGGACATGAGAGGATAAAAGAAACAGAAATAAAATATACAACAACTAAGTAGAAAGGCAGATTACACAAAAACATTCAGCCATTGTAAATTCCATATCAGTTTTCTGGTAGTAGTAACTAGCTGGGTACTTTACACGTATGCGCAAGGAGGAGGGGGAGAGAGAAAGAAAGATGAAGAGAAGCTTGCTGGTATAGTTAAAGATACTCTACTGGCACCTGAAGTAGAGGTTCAAGCCTACTTAAAAATCAAGATTTTGAAGGCAAATTTTTCAAAGCAGGCACTGAATGGTAATTTTAACTGTTTAATTATAAGGAAACAGCATGACATTAATATTGTTATACTGGAACACACCTATTCTATAGTTAATAGACTCTCCCAGCAATAATAAGTAGGAGTCGCTCAGTGAGACAATGTCGGACGCTAAGACTATCAGCAACCACCACTAGATTTCTCTGCGTCATTACTTATTATATCAAGTTCCTAACGTTTTGTACGTCGAACCTTTTTAGAACCGACTTAGTGAAATACAAGCCTCCACTGTGAAACGGCTCTATAACAAATATGCATCTTTATTTTTTGTCCTTATCCTATGAGGCCATAATATCACCATGATGATGTAGCTAATATTAATATATATTCATTGACCGAACAGCCAGTGATTCTTTTGGTTGGAATTTAGAAATGAGTACCTTACTTCCTAAATTTTATTTGAAGTGGGGTGGAAAGTTAATATCTCAATTATGTCATTATTTTCACTTTGAGTTACATGTGCTATCCATTTTAGTTGTTGCTGCTGTTGGAAGTCTTTAAGTGATGTAGTTTTTGTTATTTGTTAATATTATGGCTCTTTCGAGTATTGATGTGGGTTTCCTTCCTACCCTTTTGTTTGAAGTAGTGTGGAACATCAACATTTTGATTTTGTCATTATTTTCTCTTCAAGTTACATGTGCTATCCATTTTAGTTGTTGCTGCTCTTGATAGTCCTCGAGTGATGTGTTTTCTGTTATCTAATACAGTTCTTTGTGATTCTGTAGTATCAGTCCACAAAGTTAAAAAAGATGATGGTCCTCACTCTGACCTACAGGCTTCCCTCGCTCAAAGCTATTTTAAACCATTAATAGTGGCTGCATGCAGCTGACAGTTTTAATATTTCTGAACAAGTTTGGCATCATGCATGATATCCACATGAAAGTCTAAATCTGATTTGACTTATTTAATGACGAATCAAGTTCTTCAGTTAATCTTTTGGTTTTGTAGCAATATGTGGTGTTGGGTGAAACTATCCCTTGCAGAACCTTCCTTACCAAAATTTCACTTGTTCAATTTTGTGATGAATGAAAACTGGATACTGATTTGTAACATCATCTTTTTACTAATATTCTAATAAAAAAACTAAAACTGAAGACCCATGCAGATGTCATTGGCCATAAGAGTTGTGTTCAAATTCATAATGTTTGACTCTGCTACAAGAAAGCAACACACTTTGATTGATCACACTGTTGGAAATAATCAAATAAGATTATCATTCATTAATCAAAGAATTAGAAGTGAAAAGGTCTGCTAGAGTTCCTGAAATAAATGTTTCTGCTGTTTGCTTTTATTTGCAAATGTGTGATCAAAACACATTTCATCTTTCTTTCGATTTTCTGTATGAGATCAGACTGTGTCATGAGAATATATGCAACTATATTTTACACTTAATTCTGCCTAGGCAACAAGGTAGTTATGGGAGAGTGATTTCACTCACCTATTCTCTTTATTGACAATCAACAACACATGCCAGAGACAATAATAATAATAATAATGCTCCTATGTGACACCAGATGGAGGCATGGTGGAGTAATGGATAGTGACTCAGATTAAGGAATTGGTGAGCTGAGTTTGAATTCATTGCATTCACTTATGTGCTAATATCCTTAGAAAACTCTGTATCCATCTCTTCCCCTAGCTATGGGTAAAATAGTGAAGACTTGGCCATATAGTCTTGGTTGGTAACCAGTCTAGTTGAAAGAAAACTCTGATATTCAAACTGCCTGTTGTCTTGTAGGTTCCACCTTTTAAACTTTTGAGAGGAGAGACTTCAGCATCCCCTGTGCGAAAGGAACTAGCAAGCCTTTCACTGTTCTACCTTGAATGACAGTTTTAGCAAAAATGGAAACAAAATGGAGACTCATACCTAACATCAGGAAGAAGCAGTTGAATTTTCTCTCAGGCACATAAACAGGAAAGAGGGTCTGACAAAAAATTGAAGGCAAAAGGGACAGCAAAACATAACGTATAACCTACCTAGTAAACTTGAGTGAATGGATGGCAGAACAAGGTTTAGGAGAGATAACAAAAAGACAAATTTTATTAAGAGCTACAAAGGACAGGAAATTGTAGAGAGCCATGATCATTAATGTCCTGAAAGGTCATGGCGCCTAGAAGAATATCATACCACTGTTGTTTTTATAATGTATTATATCTTTAAATTCCTTGAGGAACATAGGACCACAAGATATTATTGCAGTTTCGATAATGTCATGGTCCAAGGTTAGGACCATTGAAGAACAACATGGAACACAAGAGTAGAAATAACAAAGAATATATTACACGAAAAATAATACAAGAAGTGGAAGGTGTTAGTATGACTGTCAGACTGGTTTGTAGTGAACTACTATCAGCTCGACTTGATTCATTACCGACTCAATACCGTTCGTCTCTTGAGAGGCGTAGTATATATAGCGTTAGGAAGAGTTCATTCTGTCTATCTAGGTAGGCACCATGACATATAACGAGCCAGTTTTTAAGTAAATAGATTGTTAGGTGACTGCACAACTCCCAACCTGAAGGATCAGGTTTTGAGTTAAGAGTTGTCTTTCTCCTAGACTAGTTGCCATCCAAGGCTATAGAACCCGGTCTGTCCTGCTATTTACCCAGAGGAAGAGGATTCATACCTTTCCCAGGGTATTAGCAGGTAAGTGAATGTAATGCATTCGACTGGAATTCGAACTCTGCTCTCCGATTCCTTAATCCGAGTCGCTATGCATTATTATACAACATAATACAAGCTAAAGAAATCATGACTGACGAGGCAGATTTTTTCCCGCAGTAGGTTGCCATTTCTTTCTGCGATAGACCAGTTGCCATCCAAAGCTATAGAACCTGGTCTCTCCTGCTATTTACTCATAGCTGTGGAGAGAAGAAGAGGATTCATACCTTTCCCAAGGGTATTAGCAAGTAAGTGAATGTAATGGATTCGATTGGAATTTGAACTCTGCTCTCTGATTCCTCAATCTGAGCCACTATCCATTACTCCACTGTGCCTCCTGTTCTTTATTAGCATGACTATATTGTCCAGAAGAAGTGACATTTTTACTTTGTTCTGTTTGAACAAGTAGCGAAGCACTGGTGAATATTTCTTTGTAAAACTCATTTTTCCTAACTTCTGAACATTTCCTGGGGCTTGTAAGTGACATGCAACAGTTGACTAGTTGCAGAAGCAGCAAAGATTCCAAGTAAACTTCAAAGATGCTTAAGATTTCCATAGACAGATCTGAAAAGGTAGATAGATATAAATAGACTTATATGGATATGTTGAGAGGAATATGCTGACAGATAGCCAGAAATAACAGACATAAATTGATAAACAGATATGAAAAGACCACAACAGATGAGCATTTTAAGAAATAGAAATAAAAAAATTGAGATAGATATATTGATAGGAACATGTAAAAAAATTGAGATAGATATATTGATAGGAACATGTAAAAAAAAATTGAGATAGATATATTGATAGGAACATGTAAAAAAAATTGAAATAGATATATTGATAGGAACATGTAAAAAAAATTGAGATAGATATATTGATAGGAACATGTAAAAAAATTGAGATAGATATATTGATAGGAACATGTAAAAAAATTGAGATAAATACATTGATAGGAACATGTAAAAAAATGACACAGATATGAATGGAAATAAATTGATAGATATGAAAAGATTGCGATAGATGTGGAGATGGATAAATGAACAGACTTGTACAGATAGATAAATAATAAACAGACATAGATGGATAGATAAATAAATCCTTCTAATCTACAATTCATCCTTGCATGGAGTATTGCTGCCATATATGGTCTGGTGCCCCTTATGTTTGTCTCAAGGTTCTTGATAAGATCCAGAGATATGCAACATAATTGGCCCTGATCTGGCATCTCATCTGCAGTTGCTCTCTCACAGACGTGTCGTCGCCTCCCTCTATCTTTTTTACAAATACTTTCATGGTAACTGATCCAATGAGCTGCTTTCGCTGGTTCCCAGACTTCATGAATTTAAGCATTCTACTAGGCTGGCATCTTGCTCACACCTTTTCACTGTCGAAGCTTCATGTCTCGCATCTCTCACCTGTGGAACTCCCTCCGCTCTTCCTGTTTCTCTGATAGCTATAATCTCCAACTATTCAAATGTAATGTCAATCGACGTCTCCAGATGCCCTGATCTATTCCCTATCCTTCTCTTCATCCTTTCCTCTATCACTCCTATTTGCTCTCACTCCAACTCTCTGTAAAGCCTTGCATGCTAGTGTCTTCCTGCCTTGCTTGGGGTGAAATGTTTAAAAAAAAAAAAAAATTAACAGACGGAGACAGAAAAATAATTATAAAAGGAATGAAATTGATATACAACCTGCAATGAATAAATTGTCATCTAAATTACGTAAAAATGAAAATAACACTGAAATCTCATTTTTACAGATTTTTACCAAAATTGCACAAACGTATCTTGAAAGAATAAAGAGTAAATTTATTTAATAACATTGCCATTGGCTTCAAGTACAACCTCCTGACAACTTCAAAATCTCCTGCAACTCTTCTGGGCAGTGTTCTTGTTCGAGTTGGTGAATGCTGCCATAATCCTTGCATTCAGTTCATCTTTGGTGTTATAAGAAGTTCTCTTGCTCAACTGTGCC